TTTATTTTTCTTCCTTTTTTCTTTTCTTTGTCTTTTTTGTTAAAGACAAAAGTCTTTAGTTAGCCTTGTGACCCTGGGTAAATCACTTCATCACTCTGGGTTCTAGGTAACTCTCTAAGATATCTAAAACAAGGTGCTGGCCCACATTGATAAAGGGTGTTCCTTATCTGGGAATTCCTTGTATCAATTAAGTTACAGGTACCTATTCCTAAATAAGTATAGAACTGTGGTAGCTTAGGAGCATGTCATATCTCTTAAGGAAATTGATCACAGAATACAAGGCTACACTTCTAATAGAAGGGAGTCTTCATGTGTATCCAGGTCCCTAAAGTATGAAGACAGAAAAGGGAATTTAAAAAAAAAAAAACAGTCTGGGCAGGTGCCTCTTCTGTAATACTTCTTGATAAAAAATATCTTCTGTCCAACATGTCCATTATCCAAAAAGCCTGGGGTCAGGAGGCAGGAGTAATATATTGTTGTTCAGTTGTTTTTCAGGCATGTCTGACTCTGTGGCCCCATTATCTTGGCAAAGATACTGGAGTAATTTGCCATTTCCCTCTCCAGCTCATTTTAGAGATGAGGAAACTGATGCTAACAGGGTTAAGTGACTTGCCCAGGGTCACACAGCTAGTAAGTGTCTGAGGCTGGATTTGAACTCAGGAAGAAGAATCTTCCTGACACCTGGCCCAGAAATCTGCCTACTATCTACTATGCCACCTAGCTGCATTCCCCTCCTACCCCCATGATGGGGAGTAATATGAAACTGATGAGGTCTAGAGGTTAGGGGTCCTGGCATCCCAAAATCGCAATACCCGGGTCCTGCTCGAAAGAATTTGACCCAAGCCTTCTTGCAGCCCAAAACAAAGTTTATTGAAGATTCGCCATATTAGCTAGACTCTTAAGGAGTCTGAGCATCTATGGGTTATTGGCTAGATTGTAAAAATCTGAGCATCTTAATGGAGACAAGATGGACCTTATATACAGAAAGACCATGGAAGAGTGGCCAAGTAGTCCATGAGGTAATTAGAATCCTCACGGGTGGGAAATGGAGCCTAGGTGGGACCAAGGGTGGGAAGTGGCCTGGGGCCATAGGGAGGCAACACAATAGAGGGGAGATTGGGTGTAGCCACAATGAAAGACCAGTTGATGGGACCATAGCCGCCAGAGATTTGGCCATGTGAGAAAGTACAGAGTCCATGAGGTAATAGAATTACCAAATGTGGGAAATGTTCTGGGGCCAGAGTTTTTCCTTTCTGGGGCTCAGATTCCAATCCCATCAAAATGAGGTAAATCATTTCATTGTACTGGATGGAGACCCCCACCAACTCTAAATTCGGTGATATTATAATTCTGAAATTTTTAGTTAGATAGCTAATTGGCCTTCTTTAAACAAATTTAAATTCATAATTCTGATTTTTTTTTCAGATTTAGATCTCTAGATTACATGGTTTGTTTTTTCTTTGAAATTTACTACCCAAAATTTTAGTATATCTTTCTATCTTTCTATTTAACCCAATCCATTCTATCTATTACATTCTATCCTGTTTTATCTATTCTATTGTATCTCAATCTCTTTGTGTATACACATACATAATACAACAAACATTTACTAAGCACCTACTTATGAGCCCCTAGGCACTGTGCTGATCAGGCAAGGGAGATAGGAAGACAAATTTAGCACAGCCCTTGCCCACAAAGGACTTACCTAATTAGCATACAATACAGTGGGTTATGGAGTTAGTGGACTTGGGTTCAAATTCCACCTTTGACACTTAGCTCTCACTTTGGGCAAGTTAAGTCACTCAACTTCCCTGGGTCCTTCATTTCCTCATACATAAAATGAAAGGACCTTTCTACCTAGTGATCTATTATCCTTCAATCTTCAATTAGTATCAATTGAGCCATGTCTAAAATGATAAGGTTGAACTGCAAAGAGTTCTCAAAAATTTTGGTCTCACTCTTAAAAATTATGGATGACCCCTCACTCTCAAAGAGCTTCTCTTTTATGTGAGTCATTTATTACTATTTACTATTGGAGAAATGAAAATGTCTTGTTTATTAGTAGATTTGACTTCACAGTTCCCTTGAAAGATCTCAAGGACCTACAGGGGGTCCCTGGATCACACTTGGTCTATATAATTTCATCTCTAAATCCTATGACTTCACGTATAAAGATCTTCATCAGGATGACATATGACACAGAACAGCAAATTTGGAAATGAGAAAATCTGGAATGCTTGCCCCTAACCCTGACACTATGTGATATAACTTTACCTTTTGTAATGTGTTTACTTATCTGTTTAAAAAAAAAAAAAAAGATTAGCAATACTTACCTTAAGCACCTGAAAAGGTTATTGTGGGGAAAACACTTCCAAAATCTTAAATGGATAACATGTGAGTTGTTCAGGTACTGTAGGATGTCAGAGTTCACAGCCTATCAGAGCAGTTCTCAACCAATTTTGTCCATTGTGCTGCCCTCTACAGGCAGCATCTAATTAATGTTTCCCAAATTCTAAATTCTATACTTCTGAGAATCATGTTGTAAGAGCCTACATATTTATCAGAAAGGCACAGATTTTAATCTCTCACAAAATATTAGAACTGGCAAAAGAGTTCAAAAATCAAATCCATGACCAGTTCTAAAATACCGAGTTCTATAAGTAAAAATATATATTTTTTTTTTTACAAATAGATGTAAGAATTATATCATATATCATTATGTTGGATGATGCAGTGGAAAAAATTTGCTCTTGAGTCAGAGAACTAGGGTTCAAATTTTGCTTCTTTCTTACTTGCTTGCGTGACCTTGGATGAATATACTTCACCTCCCTAGGCCGCAGTTTCCTCATCTGTAAAATGAGGAGTTGGATGGCTTTCAAAGGTTTCTTTCCCGTTTTACATGCTTATGATTTTAAGTTATTACGCTTCCAAGATTATTGTCATTTCTTTATTTACTGATTTTTGTTATTTGTATTTTGTTTTGAGACTGGGTATCCCTAGCTTGCTCAGACTAGAAAGAAAGTATAGTAAGTTGCCACTCAAGGACTCCAATCCCCATACTGATGGCAACGTACTTTGACTTTGACTTGCTCCATTTTCCCAATCTGTTTGCCCCTTTAGGCAGTGTCATAGTCAAACTTAGCTCCATCCTGGGCCTTGCCATATGAATAGGAATTCCAAATTTAGTAGAGCCACCTGATAGGCTAAAACATGGGTAGGGAACCTTGACTCCAGGCCACGTGTAGCCTTCTAGGTTCTTTGTGCAGGCCTTTTGACTGAATCCAAGTTTTACAGAACTAATCCTTTTATTAAGGGGATTTATTCTGTGAAGTTTGGATTCAGTCAAAGGGCAGCACATGAGGACCAGAGGACTACATGTGGCCTTGAGGTCACAGGGTCCTCATCCCTGCTTAAAGCCACATACTACAAAACTCTGGAACTCAATTGATCTCAGCAGCCTCAATCTCTCCAGCAAGGAGGGAAAACAGGGGCATGTGCCACCATATCCTGCTACAAAGTTGTCTCTTAAAAAGCGTTTGTGTCTTCTTAAATATTTGTTTTATTTCCTAAATATCATCATCTGGAGAGTTGAGAATTTTGTGGGTAGGTATGCATGATCTTATTCTTCATCTGTGGGCTACAGTATCAGAAAGACGTTGTAGAAACCTGCTAAGTAAATTATGGAAATCAAAGTTCTTTGGGAAAAAAAAAATATTAAGTTCTAAAAATTTGAATGAATGCCTGCGGGGGGAAAAAAGCATTATTTTCCAGAACTTATTAACTAATAAAACATGTACTCTCACAGACACCTCAACTGGCCTTTGTTATTTATAGTCTCTCCTTTTCAGAAGAAAAAAAAAAAGCCACCCCCAGAGAAAATTAAATTTAAAAAAACCTATAAAATTGGGAAATAAAAATAAAATCAGATGTTCCTCCCCCTTACAAAAGGCCAAAAGTGATTTCTCAAAAAGAAAAAAAAAAACACCCATTCTTCAAAAACCATTCACCATGGATCCTCTGAACTTATTCACAGAAAAGTATCCATCCAGGAACCACTGCTTCAACATCTCTATGTTCCATCGTTTTTAGCAGTTACCTGGGAATATAACCAGATGTGCAAGTTGCAGTACTTGATATCTGACCATGGGGAATCCTCTCCATTCATGGATTATGGATTGCTGAGGCCATGGCAGAGAACCATTTACACAGAAGCAACTTCATTCATGTTCTTCTGAGGAAGATCCATGGCACTGTAGAACAAGGAATACAAATAAGCAATACCACCAGGCACTCTCCATGGGGTTACCACAATAAAACCCACAAAAACCAGCTCTCAAGTTGCAAAGCTTATTGGGGGGGCAAAAAGTACATAGCAAAATAGAGAATTCCATTATGGCCCCATGGAACTACTTTCAAAGGGCCAGTGGGGCATGTTTTCATGCATTCAGACTGGTTCAATGCCAGTGGCATATACTTTTAAAATATTTAACATTCCTTTGTTACTTAAATTTAAAAAGCAAAAAACAAAACAACAAAAAAGCTTAAAAGCTCACCGGAATGCTAGAAGACATAATATTACCTGAGGTCTCATTGTGCTATATTATTTTTTTCCCTCCAGCATTTGCATAGGCAAAAAAGGAAAAGAAAAAAAGAAAAAAAAAAGACCCCCAAAAAGTGCTAGAATTCCCTGGGTGGGGACCCGGTGCCAGGTGGGGGGTGGGAGTGGAGTTGAAAAAAATACATATCTAAACTGCCCTAGTCAGAAAATGTGTCCTATACAGCAACTGCAACTACAATCCCCATCAGGGGCCTCCGTCCCCCTACCCATTGTTCACACACAAACAACATTAATGTTTTTAATCATCTTACAATTTTACAAAGGAGGGGTGTGCATGGATAATATTTATTCACGGAACTCACTTTTATATTAGGTTTTTTTAGCTGCTAATTTCATTTTAGCCAAAGAATCAGTTCCATCCCATTCATCCTTCCCTCTCAGTCTAACACAGAACTTTCTGCACGATCACGGGGAATCTTTCCTGAAGCTTTTGGACAATCCTCCGGTCCCGCGTTAAGAAGTCACAGTTCAGAATGTCTTCTGCCTCTCCTCCTTCAGATATTCTTGGGCTGGTGAGAGGGCTGTCCAGGGGCTGCCCCTCCTCCTCCGGGTAGTCCTTTTCTTCATCCTCCATCTCCTCTTCCTCCTCCTCCTCACTGTCATCCTCCTCTTTCAGCTCTTCCTCCTCGTCCCCCTCCTCTGATTCATCCTCTCCCTCTCCATACCTCTCCTCTTCTTCCTCATCCTCCTCCTCCTCTTCCTCCTCCTCCTCTTCCTCCTCCTCCTCTGCCTCCTCTCTCGCCTCCAGGTCCTCCTCCTCCTCTTCCTCCTCCTCCTCTTCCTCTTCCCCATCCTCCTCTATTCCCTCCTGCTGCAGAGAAAGGTGGAGCACATGCCCCTGGTCTTCGTCCTCCTCCTCCTCCTCCTCCTCCTCCTCCTCGTCTTCGACCTCGACCTCATCCTCGTCCTCGTCCTCGTCCTCGTCCGCCTCGACGGAGGCCGCGGGGCCGGGCACGAGGCAGTAGAGCTGCTTCTGCACGAAGCTGTAGAAAGTCTCCTGCAGCAGCCGCATTTCCTTGTCTTCGTCGCCCCGGCTGTGCACGGGTTGGAGCACGCCGCCGCCGTCCGAGGGACCCGCGGCGGTCGGGGCTCCCGGGGCTCCCGGGGCTCCCGGGGCTCCCGGCTCCTGCCCCGCGGTGGCCGCGGCCTGTCGGGCCCGCAGGGCCTCCTGCTGCCGCTCCTGCTTCTCCTGCTTGCGCATGTCCTCGTAGACCTGGTTCATGATGAACTGCGTGGTGTTGCGCGGGGCGCGCATGCCGGGCGCCCGACGGCCGTACAGGTTGACCGGGCGCAGCAGGGCGCTCAGGTCCACGGGAGGGCTGTTCTGCCCCGGGCGGCGGGGGTGGCCGCTCCTCACGCCGCGGCCTTTCCTGCCCCAGCGCTTCTTCTTCTTCTTGCGGTAGAGACGCCCCGGGCCCGGCTTGTCGTGCCCGCTCCAGCAGGAGCAGCAGCATGGACAGGGGGGCCTCATTCCGTACACCCGCACCACCTGCACACGGCCGGGCGGCTTCCAAACTTCCACGGGAGGGCAGCGCCACGGGCCCGGGGTCCAGCAGCCCCTGGGACCGCAGCAGGTGGGGCCGGCCGAACGCTCGGGGCGCCGCTGCGCATGGGGCCACGGAGGGCCGGGGTCATGCTGGTTCTTCGCCTGCCTTCGCAGCTCCTCGTACTCCAGCTTGGGGCCGGAGCGGTGGCGCCGGCGGGACATCGCGGTGCTCCTCCGCCGTCGGTGGCACGGGGACCAAGGAGGGAGAGGCGACGGGGAGGCCCAGCCGCCGCCTAGGTTCAGCGGGTCCGCCCGTCGGTCAAGGGCTAAGGCCATGCCTTCTTCGCACAGCTGTCACGTCGAGGGCTGTAGAGGATGCTGGAGGACCCCCTCCCCCCTGCTAGAGCAGGGCCACGGGGCGAGGAGGGGTCGGGTGGCACCCTTGCCGCTGCAGTCCCCACGCACCTCGCGCCTCCTTCTTCTCCTCGGCTGCCGACGCCGCTTGTCGCCCCACGTGTGCCTGCCCTCTGCGGTCTCGCCTTCTTCTCTCCAAAGGGGCCCCTTTTCCTCGCGCCCCCCGCCTGGGGGTGATCGCTCGTCCTTCTTGCCTTCTTTCTTCCTAACTTTCTTATTTTCCTTCCTCTTTGCCTTCGCGCCTGAGAAGTTGCCTCTCCTAGGGTAGGTGGTGGATGGATAGATAAATAGATGATGAATGGGTGGATGGATGGATGGGTGGGTGGATGGATGGATGGGTGGATGGATGGATGGATGGATGGATGGGTGGATGGATGGATGGATGGATCGATGGATGGATGGGTGGGACAGGGGGGCTGAGTAAGGATGGTCGGGGGGGAGGGGAATTTATTGGTGAGCTATGCGCTGTGAGCCCCGCTCCTTATTCCCGCACAAAACCCGTCTCCGCAGTAACGCGAGGGCGGGGATTGGGGGTGGGCGGGGGGAGCGCGTACCTTGCTGCACCCTCCCTCTCAGCTCAGGTGCCAGTGTGGTCGCCGGTCCAAGCCGGACTGAGGGGAGTGCTGGGCCCGAGCTGCTTCAAATACCGGCCGGGGGCCCCGCGTGCCCACTGCGTCCCAGGTTACCCCGGGCAACATCCAATCAGAGGGCAGGGTTGTGCTCACCGTGTATGAAGCCAAGGTTCGGTAGCAGAACTAGGGGTTGTATGAGTATTCTCAGGGGGCTTGTGACGCAGCTGGGGTAGGGTGGTCTAAGGAGAGGGGCAGGTAATGGGGGCTGGGTTGGCTACTCAGAAGAAGCTGGAGTTCCGAAGAGTTCCGTAGGCTCCCCTCCCCTAGGTCGTTGGGGGGTGGAGGGGTAGGACAGAATTGGCCTCCAGGAGGCTAAAGAGATCCATAGATGGTCATAGATTTAGAGCTACGAGTAAACTTAGAAAAGCTTAAAAACAGAAGAAACCTTAGGAGATCATCTGGTACCAATACCACCACTCCCTTTCATTTTACAGCTGAGGAAACTGAGGCCCAGTAAGGAGAGAGTGACTTGCCCAAGGTCACACAGCTAGTAAGGAGGAGCTAAAAATCGTAGGAAGTTCCTCTAATTCCAAACTCAATATTCTTGCCATTTTATGACGTTTCACTTCCTTCATTTAGTCTAACCCCATCACCCACCTGTTTTACAAATGAGGAAACCGACTCAGAGAGACTGAGTGGTACCAAGTGACAAAACATGGATTTCAACTTACTTTGGCCAAGGTACCTTCTGATGCCCTACGCACCACCACAAGCTGCCTGCTTTGTTTGTTTGTTTTTGTTTTGTTTTATTTTGTTTTGCTTTGCTTTTTTTTCTGAGCAGTTTAGCCACATTAATCAAAATGGTCACTGCATATCCTCTGTGCTCTTATGGTGTTTGGCATATATTAGGTGCTTACTAAATCCTTCTTTCACTCAGTCATTGACTCATTCATTAATTCATCGTGAATTAATTAAAGAAAGGGAACTCGCAAAGCCATTTCCCTTATCCATTTACATATTAGGATTCAATTCTGAAACTTCATTTTGCTCAGCAGATAGCAGAAGTCAATTAAACCTGCTAAGTGTGAGCTGTGAGTTGCAATTCCAAAAGGTTGATATATTTCTCAGCATCAGTTATTTACAGGGATAAGATGAAAGTTGCAAGAATAGAAAGTCACCTGCTGAGAATCCCAGTTTCTACAAGCTTTCATTAAATCAATAAAGAGCAGAATGAGTAGGAAATCTGCAGTCTGCTGAGATCACTCTTTCAAATCCTGGTTAAAAATTGAGACTAGTATGGGGTCTCTAAGTTTTAACAGTTTGCACTGAGATGAAGACTTGAGCATTTCTCTTGGGATCTGAGTATACAGCCAGGCTTCATTTAGGTTTCCTCACTCAGCTATTAGCTTCCCATCAACGGGCCTGGAACTAGAGGGTAGCACTAAAGGCGTCCATGTTTCCTCTCCACAGGCTCCCTTTCTTTCAAGAAGCAGCAGCATGCATTTAAAATTTAGCTTCTCTAGTTCTATTTAAATGGATGAGGCACCCTGATAGGTCAAATGTATTCTCCTCAGGACAGATGGATTACAATCCTTGCTTGGACCTGAAGGTTTTGGAAACTTTTTTAAATTCAATTATAGAACCCAAAGACTCTAATTTTTCATCAGCTGCATCTGGGTCTTAAAATATTTTAATTTAAATAATACTAACAAAAGAAATAGCAAAGTGCCTAAAACATTTTACCTGCTTTGTAAATGCTAATCCACTGACTGATACGACATAATTTATACTGTCAGTATTGGCTAGGCAGACACTAGGATGACATGCAGATTTTCTCAATTGTCATCAGCTGCTTCCTCTGATTAGAACCTTCATTTTAAGGAAAGAGTCTAGGTCAGCCTCAGCTGATTCTCCGGACTTCTTTCTCCACCTTCCCCAGTCCCACCTTCCCCTTTATAGCTTTCTTTTTATGTGTTGTCTTGCCCCATTAAAATCATTAAATTGTAAACTCCTTGAGGGCAGGAACTGTTTTTTCTCAAAATAATAGCTAGCATTTACGTCATACTTTACAAATATCTTATTTAATTCTCACAGTCACCCTGGGAGACAGGTACTATAATTATCCCCATTTTACAGAAGAGGATAACGGAGGCAAAGCCTAAGCAGACTTGCCCAGGGTTACACAGTGAGTTACTGTGACTAGTTTGAATTCAAGTCTCCATGATTCCAGATCCATCCCTCCATTCACTTCTACACCAATAAGACACCATTTTTCTCTTGTTCTTTATATGCACAGAAGGTAACATGAAAGGGGAAGACTGGAGAAGGAAGGGGAAGCAAACCTTTATTAAGTACCTACTGTATGCCACACACTTTACTAAGGCCTTTACAAATGTTATCTCCTTTGATCCTCACAACTCACATTGTTATCTCCTTTGATCCTCACAGCTCAGGAAGCAAATGCTATTATTATCTCCATTTTACAGTTGAGGAAGCTAAGGAAAACAGAGGTTAAGTGACTTACTAAGGGTCGTAAAGCTAGTAAGGATCTGATATTAGATTTGAATTCTGATCTTCCTGACTCTAGGCCCAGCTCTATGTCTACCTAGCTGCCCCTATGGCTCTGCATTCTATCATGTTTCATATTCTGTACAGGACTATACTGTCAAATCAAAAAGAAAAAGCCCAGAAGCCCTTAATATAAGGCTTTAAGGTTTACAAAATCTCTTCCGTGGATTAGCTCATTTGAGCCTTACAACCACGTAGTAAGGTGGGTTTTACAATTTACGGTCATTCCCATGGAGAGATGAGGAAACCTAGTTTCCAAGAATTTAAATAATTATCCCGGGGACATTCACAGGCAGGATTCGAACCTGGGTTTTCAGACTCCATGTCTATTAACTCTATGCACTTCCCCATTCTACCTCTGATATATTCTAAGCTTGGTCTTCACTCTTCTAGAAAGAAAAGACAAAATACTTTGAGAAAAAATACAGTTCTAACACACGATGGCAGCAGTGACTTATTCAACATTCACGCAGTCATAGTTATCTGGGAAAGACCGACTTATGCGTTGGATAATAGAAGTCAATATTCCAGGTACTTTGTGTAAGTTAGTGCAACATTTTAAATATGACATGTAAAATTCTTGGACATAGTAATTTTCTCTGTTGTTTTCCACAGAACATTCATGCTAGAGATGTTATTTTTTTATGTGAACAGACTACTTTTTTGAAAAATTGTCAATATCTTAAGTAAAATCTTTCTAAGGGATCTATAGTTCACCTATCCCTGATGTATTTCTGCAGATAAACCAGTCAATTTTTTAAGAAGTTATTTTGGTGAATTTACATATTTTAATCCTTCACAGCTACATTTTGCTTTCTCATCAGCAGAGTGGTTTCCTCATATAAATCTATGAATGGATACCAAATATGTATTCCATTTGCAAAGATAATCTCATCGTGTTCCTGGTAGACAATAGAGGAACGACTCCTAACCTAGCCCCTTTCCTACGTTTCCAGCCTTCTTACAACTTACTCTCTGAAATGTACTCCCCAACTGACCTCCTGGCTGTTGTTCCACAAACAAGACACTCATCTCTCAGCTCTGGTCATTTTTTCTGGCTGTCCCCCATGCCTGAAACATTCTCCCTCTTCATCTCTCTCTACTGGTTTTCTTTCAGGTCCCATCTTCTACAAGAAACCTTTCCCAACCCCTCTTAATTCTCGTGCCTCCTCTAGCTTAATTATATTTTATTTATCTTATATGTAACTTGTTTCTATTTATTTGCTTGTCATCTTGCACATTAGACTATAATCTCCTTGAGGGCAGGGGAAAAAATCATGGACTCCAGTCTCCTTATTTTCTAGTTAAAGAAAATAAGGCTCAGAGAAATCAAGTGATTTGCCCAATATATCACAGGGACAATCAACAAATATCTCTTTCTAAATGGAGCTACCTCACTTTTCTACGTATTCAACTCTTGAGTAAGAATACAAACATGTGGTCTTCCTGACTCCCAAGTCCAGGTCATGGTATCCACTGTGCCACCCAACTCAATCAATCAATCGATAAATATTTATTAAGTGTCTAGTATGTTCCAGGCACTGTGCCAAGTGCTAAGGGTACAAAAAGAGTCAAAATACAGTTCCTGCCCTCAAAGGAGTTTACGATCTAATGGGAGATACACCATGCAAACACATAATCTACAGATAAAGAGGAAATAGTTAACAGAGGGAAGGCAATAGAAATAAGAGGGGCCCAGCAAAAGAGATTTTAGTTGAGATTTAAAGGAAGTTAGGGAGGTCAGTAGGCAGAGGAGAAGGGAAAGCATTCCAGGAAAGGGCCCAGCCAGAGAAAAATGTCCAATATCCTTGTGTGGGGGATGTTGGTGTACTGTAAGAGCCAGTGTTGCAGTGAGTCAACATAATAATAAATATTTTCCAAATAAGGCAGAATAATTTTCTAGTACTTTTATTTGTTCACAACAATCCAGAATCTAATGATTTAGGGGGGAGTAACAACATTGGTTAATGAAAAGAATTATAACAACAAACCTTGGATAAATACTGAAAGTGTATGTGTTTTTTTCCTAATAAATTTTCATTTATTGAATAATTAGGTTTAAATCATACATACTGTAAATTAAATGTGAGTACTTCTTAAGTATAAAAATGTTACATATTTTCTATTTAAATTTGCTCAACCTGTATGTTTGGTATTGTTTTATGTATTTCAATGCCAATATCATCTTTTTCCATTTTTTTCACTTCATCTGTTTGTGTTTCATTTTAACTTCTAACAAGTTTCCAAATATAAATTTGCAAACAATTCACGGCTTTTTCTGTGCTAGCACATTAATCATGATTCTCTTGCTGTTAGCATAGGGCATTGCCTGAACCCTGAATTTGGCTTAGACCAGGCTACCAATTGGCAGACGAGGTAGACACATGTACGCCTGAGGAGTTTTACTCAGATTGATGGGGTTCCCGTCCAGCCGGATGTCCTCCAAAGCCTTCCGTACGTAGGTCAAGTTTTTGACATTGCAGAAAGTATCTTCATGCATCTCTAGAATATTGTTGTTCTACAAGAGGAATACACACAGCCACGTTAGAAACCCACTTTTTGTCCTTATCTTTGCCAACCTAATGCTTTCCTTAATTCCCCTTGCTCTACAAGAAACCACAGTGATGACTTCTATATAGCCCTTGGAAATCACTTCCCTCCAAAAGCCCTGTAAGGGAGATAGTACAACAGATATTAGCTCCATTTTATGGATGATGAAATTGAGGCTTGGAGAATTTAAATGCTCATCCAAGATTATAAAAGCTAATAAGTGTCTCAGGCAGGATTTGAATCCATGTGTACTGATTCCAAGGTCAATGCTCTACCCTCTACAATCTCATGTTCTCTCCCATTTTCCCTAATCTAACCTATGCTCCCATTTTTTACCCTCACCTTCAAAGCTCAAAAGGTATCTTTGTTCCATACCTGTTCTTCTAGGCACACAATTTTGAATCATATTACCCAGCACTTCTGTGGGCCTTATAGTCATCTCATCTTTGGTCTATCTTCCCCTACCCATCCTGCCCCCACACTCCCATTACTTCCTTCCTCTTATCAGCATCAACAAATAACCCTAAACTTATTCATGCCTCTTCTTTCTATCACTCTTATTTTATATATATATACACACACATACACACACACTTATTATATATATATATATGTGTGTGTGTATATACATACATATATATGTATGTACTTGGGCAAATCACTCCCTCATATACCTATTTGTTTTTCATATTTAAATGTTTCCCTTGGTTTCTGTTTTTTGTTTGTTTGTTTTTCTTTTTTTATCTCCAAAGGATCCTGGCCTGAGTTCCCTCATCTGTAAAATGAGGGAATTGGATCAGAAAGTCCCTGAGGTTCCTTTGGCTCTAAATATATGAAGACAGAGAGAGCAGTTCAGGGGTTTGATTGATCCAGGAAAGAAAAGGGGGCAGGGTCATGGGAAAAGTTTTTGTGTGATCAGGAAAACAGACAATTGATGGTGAATCATCAAAAGCATCTAACAGGGTAGCCCTGAGATAACCTAAGAAAGTCTATGTGTCAGCATAGTCTCCTTTGTAGACCTAAATTGATTCATCTTTTGGTGGATGGCTTTGGAAGTTCTTCCTCCCTAGAGGGTTATGATCCTATGACCCCAACTGAAATCTGGACTACATAACAAGGACATCTCATTTGACACTACCACCTCCTTTGAAGGACTTCTCTATATGGCCCTGATTGGAAGTACAATGGCTATTTGCTGGACTGATCCCACTATTGGTAGGCAAAAGAACTTTGATCTTCTTTGTTTCTGACCTGGGCCAGTTCAGCCTTTGCTAGGCAGCATGGTGGCCCCAACTTTGGAGGGACCATATTGGTCCCTGTCTTAATGCGGACACTCAGTGATTGGCTTGAGCCCTACTGCAGCCTAGTACTCCTGATCTCAAGCCATCTACCACCCTAGGCCTCCTTAAAGAAAGGATTATGGAATGGCATGGGCCATTGTCTTAAAAGAAAAACTTTTTAAACATTTTATGAGCCAGTTCCAACATGGTAGATAAATTTAGCACATAGATCATATTCCTCCTCTTCTCCTCATCCTAGACAGCTTTAATTTTCCCTCCACTATCCTCACAGTGTCAAAGAATTATACCTTCAGTCCCCAGGTCTTTTCCATAACCCTTATTTTCCACAAAGAAATTGGAGAATATTATCATTGGATTTAGAAGTGAAAAGTATCTTAAAGATTCCTCTAATCCCCTCACTTTACATATGAAGAAACTGAGGCCCAGAAAAGTTAAATAACTTACATACTCTCATCCTCAACCTTCCTCTCATCCATTCTCCTGTTACTAGACTTAGAACATAAGGCTTTCCTAGTTTGGTGGCACCTGCTAGCTTTTATTTACTGCTATCATGGCCTTCAAGAGAACAGATCACTTCTACAACATGAGGCTTCAGAATAGGACTTGAGAGGTAGATTGGGCTGATCTGGAAGGCAAGTACATTTGAATTTAAATCCCTCTTGTAACCCATACCAACTATGTGACTGGGCAAGTCATCTCACTTCATAGGCAGCACTCAAAGACTTTGAATTTCAGAAAAGGTGCCCACCTACATCATAGAGGGAATCTCCTCAATACTAGTGAACTAGGGGGGCGGTGCATAGAGCCCCAGGGCTGGAGTCAGGAAGACTCCTCTTCATGAGTTCAAATCTAGCCTCAGACACTTACTAGCTGTGGGACCCTGGGTAAATCATTTAACCCAGTTTGCCTCAGTTTCTTCATTTATAAAATGAGTTGGAGAAGAAAACGGCAAAACACTCTAGTATCTTTTCCAAGAAAAACCCAAATAGGGTCATGAAGAGTCAGACATAATTGAAAAACAACTAAAGTGAGGTATGGTCCAAGATATGTATGAATAAGGAAGAATCCTGGACCTCTATTTGGGTTCAAGTAATTTCTCTTTTTTTCTAGACTCTTGTTGTATTAATGGGTAGTATCCCATCATTAAGAACTTCATTGTGTTGATAGTTTCATATGTTTCAGTTTTGTGTCTCCCTGATCTTCAAGAGTCAGAAAACGTCATATAGTTAAGTTCTTTGGTGCCAACCACTTGTGCTGGATACAAGGTAGGAGCCTAATTAACACTTGTTTATTAATTAATTGGCCATAGAACAGGATGCCAGCTTAGGAAGAAGCCATAAGACCAGTCTATATTATTATTTAATATTATTTGTCACAGGAGCAGACTATATGCCATATGACATTTAAATGAATTCTGGGAGTACTATTTATAATAGAACTTGAGGGATATTGGGGTAAAATTAAGATACAACAATGAATGCTGATTATACAATTATTGTTGACAACTTAAGGTTCCCATAATATTCAAAATATTGTCATCTTATTGGCACAAGACTGATCGCTACAAATTCCTACTTCTTCTCCAATACTGAATTTCCAGAAGTTTACAGTCTGGGAATTTAGTCCATTTAATGATCAGCGCAGTTTCTGGTACTTAATCTTTTTTTTTCCCTCTCCTAACATTCCATAGGTATAGGGACCAAGCCTGTTATTCCATTGGCATCTGGAACTCCGAAGTGAAGAATTTCCTCTATTAATGTAGTTCTTAACCCTTAATCTTCTCTGTTACTTAGAGCCTTACAGAGCTCCCTGGGGATACTGAGAGATTAAAGGATTTAAATACCCAGGGTTAAATAGTCAGTTATATGTTGGAGAAAGGATATGAACCTAGGTCTTCTTGAGTCAGTGGCCAGCCCTCTCCCCACAGCACCATGCCGACTCTAGTCCACATATATCCACCATAAATCATATGGAATCTTTCTGGGTTACTTTGAAATTAACTAAATAGAACTCTACCTCACCACCACCATTTTCTTGAGAATCAGTTTATAAAATGGAAAGTGCTTCGTGACCATGAGCTATTATTATTTATGAAGTCATAAATCATAAAGGTGGTTTGACAAGAGGGAGACAGGGGACAATCACTTAAAACGTTGTTGTTGTTTGGTTTGTTTGTTGGTTTTTAAATCAGATCTGTGATTTCACCAGGGTAGGGAAGAATAGGTAGCTAGGTAGTATGAAGGATAGAATGTCAGACCTGGAATTAGGAAGACCTAATTTTTTTAATCTTGCTTTAGACACATACTAGCTGTGTGATTCAAGGTGAGCCATTAAACCTTTCAGCCTCTGTAAAATACAGACAATAATACCAGGGTTGGGGTAAGGATAAAATGAGATTATATATACATATGTAATTTTTATAAACATTAAAGTTTATGAACACTACCTATTATAATTAAGAACTCCTACCACTGCAGATCAGCACCTGCTATGCAAATATTATTAGTCCCACAGAGTTACCTTCAACATTGAGCAATGACTTGTCAAGGTCACATTTGCTGGTCTGTTTCTGAGGTGGGACTTGAGCCCAGGTCTTCCTGGCTCTCAGTCTAGTATACCATGCAAAATCTCATATTAAATCTAGGGCATTTCAACAGAAAATATCCCAAACACCATATAAATCTGACAAAAGTCCAGCCTTAAAGGACTGTGAAACCCAGAGAGAGAAAATTCTTTCTGCCTGAAAAAAAAATAGAAGCAGTTTCTTTTTTCTCCTTCTTGCTATGTCAATAGATTTCATACACATGAACTTTTTTTTCCTATTTTCCAGATCTTGCTATATTGGAGCTAAAAGAGCAATGGTATGAGTTCATGAAAGGATTCAATTATCTTGTCCTTAGTTTCACATTCTGATGGTTTTTATGAGGATAAAATTAGCTGATATAGAAAGGAATAGTTTCAATACATGATATAGAAATTGGAGGGTGGGGTGGGCAGTCTGGTGCAGTGCACAGAATGGATAAAGCTGGATCTGGAGTTAGGAAGACCTGAGTTAAAATCCTGTCTTAGAACACTTAATAACTGTCTGACCCTGGGCAAGTCATTTGATCAATTATCTCATTTGATCCTCACAACAACCCTAGTGTTCTTCCCATTCCCTATATGAGTTTCAGTTTTGTGTCTCCCTGATCTTCAGTTTCTTCATCTGCTAAATGGAAAGTAGATCATCTGGAAGGAAGATAATCTCTCCAAGTACTACAAGTACTATCATTCTATGAAACAGTCAGACCATGTGGGGCAAAGGAATACTGGATTTGGGGTCAGCAGCTCTGTGTTCAAATTCCAGCCTTGTAACTCTCTTACATTTGTTACCTTGGGCAAGTGATAGACTCTTAGGGACTCAGTTTCCTCAACTGTAAAATAAGGAAGCTGGGCTAAATGACTTCTAAGGTGCCTTCTAGATCTAAAACCATTATCCTGTGGCATACAGACAGAATTTCTCTGCCATATCAATGCCATCTTGTGGTTCTTTTTGATGTGATTACTGTACAATTTTAAATGCGTCTATTCTTTCTACTCTGGGCATAAATGGAGTCTCAACTCTAGGTATCTTAGGCATATGCTAGGAAGTAATTATGAGGGGAGTGTGACTTAATCTCTGGGTTAGATATTTTCCAAACTTGAAATGAAGGAATAATTTGTTTGATCATGTATTAAGCCAAAACATTTGTTTTAGATGAACACATCTGCTATTCCAGTGATTCTTATAAAGGGGAAGTGATGCCTAATCAAAAGAAAAAAAAAAAGATAATGCTAAATCTCACCAGCATGTTAGTTTGTGAGAAATGAGATGGGAATTTCTTTACACAAACATCTACTCTATGGGATTGCTTCCTGACCTTCCTCCAAAAAATAAAACAGATGAGGAGAGAGTGTGAATTCTTGTATAAAGCATGAAATGGAATCCTAAGAATAGAACTTGTTGTGAGGTGTCTAGTGGATAGAGCACTGGCCCTGGAGTCAGGAGGGCCTGAGTTCAAATCCAGTCTCAGACACTTGATACTTCCTAACTGTGTGACTCTGGGCAAGTCACTTAGCCCCGATTGCCTCACCAAAAAAAAAAAAAAAAAAAAAAAAAGTATATGGTATAAGAATAGAACTTGTTTCCCAGGAGCTAAATAACAAAATGAAATTGTTAAGTTAGAATAATTTTACTGTGTGGTCTTGGTCAAGTCATTTCCCTCCTCTGGGCCTCAGTTTCCTCATATGTAAAATAAGGGGATTGGACTAGATGACCTCTGAGATCCCTTTTGCTTTTGGATCACAATCCTAAGATCCTGTGATCTCCTTCCCTGCTCCACTATACTATTAAATGCTGGTGTAGGTGTCTTGCATTTTTTCCCTTCAGAGAAACATGTCAAATAAACAATGGCAGATATGGAGAGACAAGTTTCTAAGGCTTTAAAGTTTGTTACTGGAAATCAGTAGGTGGACAGAGCAACTGTTATGATAAGTTCTAATTTTCAGCATGAAAAGAGGACATAGGATCATAGATTTAGGGTTGAATGGAGCTTTAGTTCAAACACCTCGCTTTGGCCTAGTGTAACACAGATAGTGAATGATAGAGACAGGATATAAATATATATATATATCTTCTGACTCAGAAGTCAAGAGAAAAAGAAAAATATGGCAGTTCATTCTACCAAATCATCCTGAGAAGATGAATGTATTTGCTGGTGAATAAATTAGTCCCTTTGCCATCTGTTTTATCTCTGAAATGGGACATCATTCTTTGTTCAATCTATTTCTTTACTAAAAGCCTACCTGGAGATGGAGAGCTCGGAGGTTAGCAGGCAGTGGTAGTGGGATGTGGTCCAAGTTATTATCCGTAATGTAAAGGTGATGGAGATCATACATATCCTATTAGAAAACCAAAGACAGGAATTTGGTGAAAAAGGAGAGTGATTGTAATTTGACTTTTACTCTCATTTCTCATGAAACTTTTTTTTTTTTACTAGTCAACTACCCAAGATTTTATTTTCCAGAGTTAGAAAAATAATATCAATTCATCTGAAAGAACAAAATGTTGAGAACATCACATGAGACTCTTTAAGAAGTGTAAAAACAAAATGATGTACAGTGGGAATACAAGTAGGTCTTAGACTGGGATTGATGACTAAAAGCTACATCAAAGATAAGGTAGCTTTTTATAGTCAGTGCACATTTCAAATGAGCCCAGTACTGGCTAGGTATTGGACATTGGATAAATGCTTCTTGATGATGACAATTACTTCCCATGACCTTCATGAAGACCCTTTCTTTGATTGTTTACTTTGCTTAAATTGAGAGAGGTAGGTAGTTCTGCTTTCTTTTAAAAAAAGAATAAAATAAAACATCTGCAAGTTGTTTTGTTTCTCCTAAATAATTTTTAAAAACTAGATGATATATGAGAAAAAGGAGAGGAGAGAAGAAAAGAGAGGGGATGAGAATGAAGAGAGAGAGAGGGTGGGAAGGAGGGAGACAAGGACAGACAGAGAGAAACAGAGAGAAAGAGAGACGGAGATCCTAGGCTTACTTTAAATGCTTCTTGCTTTATCCCTTTTCGGCCTAGTCTATTGTTACTGATGTCAATGAAGGTCAGTGTGGATGGTAACTCGGGAAGCTGTCTGATTCTGTTGTCCCGAAGGACAAGTTCCCGAAGCTGGGGCAATTCTCTGAAAGCATCTTCATCAATCTCAGATATTAAATTCGATGTCAAATCAATCCTTTTTAAATCACCTAGAAAAAAAAATGAACAGAAAATATTCATGCATATTCTCTTTTTTTTTTCCCCTCCATAAAAACAAAGAAGAAATCAAGAAACTATGATTGCTTTTGGAGATGGACAGTTAGTGAATTTAGCCTTCTGTCTCTAGTGAGCTATCATTCAAATGCTTTACTATTTCCTGCAATATTCAGGCTCCCTCAGGTATTATGCATAGTTATGCAATTATAAGGACATTTAACTTCAGCAAAGAAATGGGCCTGCTATCTTTTAAAAACAAAGCCCATTTATTCCTTCATATATTCTGTGAATATCTATGGGCACTGCTCTTTAAAGGAGACTTTTCTCAGTAGGTATATCCCCTGATATATTTTCTGACAGTCAAATTTGCAGAAAACAAAATCTCTCAACAAAAATGTTTCATGACCACAAAAAAATTCATCTTTTTAGATTGAAGAACCAATCAACAAAACAACGACAACAAAGTCTATGGGAAGGCACTGAGTATGTTGGGCACAAGATTCACGGGACGACGTTGCCAAAAGTTCCACAGGTGGACAGATGTGGACGAGTTACAATCTGTATCCTCAGAGAGACTATCCCACATGAAGGAGGTGAAAGATACATCCCAGAATCAAAGATGTTTGAAGAAAGATCACCAATTCATGTTTGACCTTGGCATCTGTGGTATCTACAGGTTGGCCAAATATATAATTGTATACACATATTATAGTATAGTATATATTAAATCTGTCATCTATCTATCTGTCTATCCATCTGTCTGTCCGTCCGTCTGTCTGTCTATGTCATGGGGCCAGTAGGTGCCCTAGTGAATAGAGCACTGGGCCTGGAATCGGGAGGACCTGAATTCACACATTTCTACTTTCTGTTGTCAGATATTATTTTGTGCTCAGAAACAGCTAAGAAAGAATGGATAATAGGTGGTGCACGGACAGGGTGTGGAATCAGGAAGACTTTTCTTCCTGAGTTCAAATCTGGCCTCAGACGTTTACTAGCTGTGTGACTCTGGGCAAGTCACTTAACCCTATTTGCCTCAGTTTTCTCATCTGTAAAATGAGCTAGAGAAGGAAATGGCAAACCGCTCCAGTGTCTCTGCCAAGAAAACCTCAAATGGGGTCATGGAGAGCTGGACACAACTGAAAAACAACATACATATCATATATATGCATGTATAATACTATGCACATATCATGCAACTCTCAAAGAGTATAAATTGTAGAGCAAGTGCCCATCCCATTGTTAGAGGCTGAGTATGGAGTCAGGAAGACCTGAGCTCAAATCTGGCCTAGCTGTGTGACCCCGGACAAATCATTTAACCCCTGTTTGCCTCAGTTTCACCATCTGTAAAATGGACATAACAACAGTACCTACCTCCCAAGGTTGTTGTGAAGATCAAATGAGATAATATTTTTAAAGCTCTCAGCACAGTTCCTGGCACATGGTAAGCATTATATAAATGCATATTCCTTCCCCCAACCCCATAACAATAAAATCACAGAATTAGGACAAAACTAAGAAATCAAAAGCAATCAACAACCCATGCAGCAAGTTAAGGAAAAAAAGGAACTTTAGGACCATTTTTCATCCATACTTAGATGTGCAAAGTCATTTTTGTTGATCTTTTTTATTCTATTAAATCGGGCGTAGAAATAGGCTGTGTTCTTGGGCAGAGGAGGGACAGCATCAAGTTCATGGTCATCACAGTAGACTGTGGTGCTCATACAAGTGCACAGGAGACAGGTGGGGAAGTCTGAAAAGACACAGAAATAAAATTAAGCAAGGTAATTTAAATTGTTTTCTAAGGAGGAATGGGATGAGGTGACATATTGTAACAAGAAATAAATAGCTAAACATTTTTGTAGGTTCTATCTTTTTTTAAATAAAGTCAGTGTTTATTGATGTGAATTTCTTTTATTTAATTTTTTTGGGGGGGCAAGGCAATCAGGGTTAAGTGACTTGCCCGGGGTCACACAGCTAGTAAGTGTCAAGTGTCTGAAGCCAAATTTGAACTCAGGTCTTCCTGACTCCACAGTTGGGTGCTATATCCACTGTATCATCTAGCTGCCTTTAAAGTCTAGTGTTTAAATGAAAAAAAAAATGCAAGAGTAAATAAGATTAGAGCCAGTGGTCCAGTGGTTCTTATATATTTTGTTCTTGGGACTCCTTTATACTCTCAAAATACTGAGGATTCCCCAAAGAGTTCTTGTTTTGTGTGGGTTATATGTAATGGTATTTACTGTGTCGAAAATCAAAACATCTTAATGTTATTATGAAAATAATTTTGACCTTGAGGACCCCGAGAAGGTCTTAGGGATCTCCCAGGAGTCCCCAGATCACGTTGAGAATGCTAATCTATTCCTTTCTTTTCATTTTGCAAATGAAAAAAACTGATCTTTAAAGCGGTTACTATTTGTCTGACTCTCAGAGTACCACTCTTTTTATTATAGGCAGGTAGGCCAGCCACTGGATAAAATGGTGGATGTGGAATCAGGAAGACCTGATTTCAGATATCATCTCTGGCACCTCCTCTTAGGGTTGTTGTGAAGCTCAACCAAGATAAAATTGTGAAGCACTTTGCAAACCTTAAAATGCTTTAAAAATGCTAGCTATTGTTATTATTTTGATACCAGGTTTCTACCCTAATTAAAGCAAGAAAAATATGACATAGATGTAACTTCAGTGTCTAATTCAAAAGTTTTAAAATTTTTGACTTTTCATAATTAAGAATTGTATTCTTTTACAATCCATATTTAGCTTATAATTCTATTTTGATTGTTGTTGTAGCCCATTTGGGGTTTTCTTGGGAAAGATACTGAAGTGGTTTGCCGTTTCCTTCTCCAGCTCATTTTACAGATGAGGAAACTGAGGCAAACAAGGTTAAGTGACTTGTCCAGGGTCACACAGCCACTAAGTGTTTGAGGCTGGATTTGAACGCATGAGGATGAGTATTCATGACTCCAGGTCTGGTACTCTATGCACTATGGTGCCATCTAACTGCCCCAGCTCTTGCTGTGACGCTAAATCACTTTCATTTTTGGGTTCTCAGTTTCCTTGTCTATGAAATGAAGGAGCGGACAAGATGAGCTTGAAGGTCTCTTCCTGCTGTAGGTCTAGGGACAACACTCTATGATCTAACCTCTCCTCAAAATTCAAATTCTCCTTAGCATTCATTACACTGTTTTTTGTTCAGTCCTTTCAGTGATGTCCAACTCTTCATGACCTCATCTGGGGTTTTCTTAGCAAAGATACTGATTTGCCATTTTCTTCTCCAGGAGATTAAGGCAAACAGAAGTTAAATGACTCGGTCAGGATCACACAGACAATAAGTGTCTAAGGTCAAATTTGAACTCAGGTCTTCCTGACTTCAGACCCAGTACTCTATTCCTTGTACCACCTAGCTGCCCCTCTATTTTGATTATTGAAATATTATCATTTTTAACTTTACAACCTATTGTCGATGTCTGTAAATGTCCAGAGCTTTATGTCCACTTCTGAATACCCCATCAAGAAAGGGTGAAAGTCCAAATAATTGTCTTTGTAATGAAGGCACAAATGTGTTCCTTGGTCATATCAGAAAAAGCTCGGAGTTCAGAGTCGGAGAATCTCGGATCAGATAGCAGCTCTATGATTTACTGTCCCCGTGACCTTGGGCAGGATACTGAGCCCCTCTGAACCTCCATTTCTTCATTTCTAAAATGAAAAGATTGTACCAGATGAGCCCCGAGGCCCCTTCCAGCTCTGAAACTATGACCTATGATTATATAGAAAAAATGTAAAATGCTAATTTTGGAGAAGAAGATTATTCCAAGCAAAGAAACCAAAGCAGTTTAGGTTAAGTGATCAAAATAGATGTGGAATTTTAATTCTATTGAGTTCTCCCAGTTATTCTAAGTGGTACTTGCTTTTTGCCATGAGAATTTTTTAAGAAGTTCATTTTCTTATATTTTAAAGTGCATATTAATTAATCTAAAATAATTGTATAGAACACTTACGTATGCATATGTGTTTGTATATGTATATATGCGTGGCTGTGTATGTATGGGTGTATATATGTATGTGTGTATGCATGCATATATATGTGTTTATATATACATATATATGTATGTATTACTTCTTTCTATTTCCTTTCCATATTTGATTCAGTGGGAGAATTCTGGATTTTGCATCAAAATATAGTCAGTGGGGCTCTGACACATATGCGTTGGCTGACCTTGGCAAGTCATTTAACCAACCTCTCAGTGGTCCAAGCAGCTCTAACACTTGCTGAGCTGCATGGGAAGATGGTGTTCCTCACTAGCAGCTCCTTATACTAATGAAATTACAACATCTGGATGATTAATCAACATGTGAATGAATGAATAAATAAAGGACAAATGAACAAGTAAATAGATGGATAAATGAATGAATGGATAGCTAAGTATGTAAACAAATAAATGAAAGCCGAGATAAATGGATGACAAATGAATACATAAATGAATGAATGAATGAATGAATGAATGAGTGAATCAATCAATAATGAGCGATGTTCAAAGAAAGGTAAATGATTCTGTTGAAAGTCGAGGGACCGTAAATCTAAACTTGGAAGGAACATCAAAGAACATCTGGTTATCCCCCTTATTTTACATCTAAGAAAACTGGGGTCCATAATTCACAAAGCTAGTAAGTATCAGAAGCAGGATTACTAACATTTTAGAAACAGATTATTTATTTGAAAAAAAAATGCATCCTCATTTCTTGCTCTCTCTGCTCTACTCTGGAAATTCTCACCTTATTTTTCTTTCCTCTAGAACTTGAGACGTCTAGCATCAGTAGGGGCTAACGTGTTTGTAATCTAGAATTCGGTTCTGTATTTACCAACCTTCATTGGTTTGAGGACCAAGGACACCGATGAAATCTGGCCCATGTGGGGAGGAGCCGTCAATCAGTTTTGCTGTGGATTCTTCCCCTTCTGGCTCCTGGGGCAGCGGTGGGGGGCTGGGAAGTTCTCTGTTCCCAGAAGGCATTACAGTCACGATTTCAATCTGAAGGGAAACAGAGGGTTCAGTGCCCATGCTTCATCATTCAGAATCATCACGACCATAGACTGCCATGTCTCAGCTGTTAACACAAGAGGTCACCCTTGTTCTGGGGTTCCAGGTGGTTCCACCCTACTCAAGAAATCATTGGCTCATAAAATTAGAGAGCAAGCTGATATTTTCCCCAATTCGTCTTCATTCTCAAACTTTAATATTAATAACAATTAAATTAAAATTAACACAATTAATAAAATCTCCATTAAAATTCAAAACAAAACAAACAAGAAAAACAGACAAACAAACGAACAAAAAAAACCCCAACAACTTGTTTTTTCCTAACTGTCCTGCAGAGGAATATAGTGTAAAATGCCTCTGACTTGGAATCAGGAAAACTTTATGTTTAAAACCTGATTCTGACTCGAATTAGCTGGGAGACCCTAAACAAGTCACTGAGCTGTAACTTCTTCATCTGTAAAGTGGGAATAATAATGTTTACGTAAGATAGCTTATAGGGCTGTGCAATAGCTCAAATAAGATTTTACTTTGGAGGTAAAGCAATTTGAAAACTTTAATATACTGCTTAAATGTACATTATGTTTTTGATTATTACTGTATAGGTCACAGGGATGTTATATGAAAAGTGCTTTATAACCCGTAAGGTATTCTATCTGAGAGACAGCATAGGGTAGTGGATAGAGTTCAAGAGCCTTTAGGAAGACCTGGGTTGGAATTCCTTCTCTGATATTTATTCGCATGTGACTATCACTGAGTCACTTCACATAAGTGTACCCATCTATAAAAAGAGAATGATAATACCTAGAATATTAATACCTTAGCTTGCGAGTTCTATTTTGAGACTCAAATAAGTCAATGCATAGAAGGTATAAACAATTGTCAGTAATTACATAAAAGTGAGTTGGTGCTTCTCTACTTCTTTTGCAGTATATGAGTTTCTTTGATCCATCCCTTCTGTTTCTTGCTAAACTGTGACATTTCCTTTTAAAAGACTCTTTATGGGGACTGAAGGTGAGGGAAGGGCATTTTCTTTTCTTCCTGCGTAAAACTTCGGTACAAAAGGTATCCTTGTTGCTTGATGAGCAAAGAATAACAATAGTTAATAATAAATAATAATAAAATAACACTTATGTAGTGTTTTAAGGTTTGCAAAGTGTGAGTCTCATTTGACCCAAACAACAGCTCTGGGAAATATTATTATCCTCATTTGAGAGATGCGGAAGGTGAGGCTAGATAGATGAATGACTTGCCCAGAATCACGGAGTTAGAGGCAGGATTTCATCTGAGGTATTCCTGATCTCATTACTTTTTCCACTATGCCACCTAGCAGCCGAGTACATTTAAAAAAAATATCATTCTTTAAAATAAAACTCTACTACAGTCATTACTGAGATGTTTCAATCCTGTAGCACACATGAATTGAACCCTCTAGCAACCCTGAACCAGATTACTGTTTGAAAAAATAGGCATTGAATGTATTCTTATTGCATGAATGAATGATTGAAAGAAGGTGCTAATTGAAATAAAAAGAAAAAAAAAAGCTTTCCACAATTTTGTTCCAGTTCATGGCCATGTTGTAAGGTAAGTGAAGACCTCCCTTCTCTGGGTTCGGTTTTTTTCAACTGTGATTGAGCAGACTAAAGGGTAGCTAAGATCTGTTCCAACTCCAAGTCAATAATCTTATGATCTTGTCTTCCAGTAGTGTTTTTGGGCCGCTAGGTGGTGCAATGGATGGAATGCCAGGCCTGGAGTCAGGAGGATCTGAGTTCAAATTTGGCTTCAGAAACTAGCTGTGTGACCCTGAGCAAGTCACTTAATCTTCTTGCCACAATTTCCTCGTAAAACAAGCTGGAGAAGAAAATGGAAACCCACTTCGGTATCTTTGCCAAGAAAACCCCAAGTGTGGTCAGGAAGAATCTGACATGGCTGAACAACAAAAGCATTGCTATTTCCTTATCTGTGGATTTTAATCGGTCAGGAATAAAATACTCCTGTTTATCCATGACTAGACCTGCCTAAGCTTGGATACTTGAGTTCACTTCTTGTCAGTGTAAGAATTATTCATTCTAATGCTAGGATTTTGCCTTTTTCCCACCTGCATAAAGCAACAGGTGCTACCAGCCGATTTGTGGAAAATCAAACAATAATTTCATAGGGCAGGTGTGGAAACAGCACACCTTGCAGCCATGTGCGCAGTGTGGTGGTAAGGGTTCCATGAGATACCATTGAGCTGTGTTGATCATGAAGCCTCTGGATCAGAAAGGGGAAGACTCAGATCATGTGTGTCTTTGTGTGTGTGTGTGTGTGTGTGTGTGTGTGTGTGTGTGTGTGTGTGTG